AGGGAGGGAGGTGGGGAGGAGGCCTGAGCCCCTCGGCCCGCACCCTTCCCCCAGCCCATCTCCCAGCCCTGACCCTGTCTCTCCCTCTCCCTCGCAGAGAGAGACGTTGTCCCCAGGCCCGACTCGCCGCAGCAGTTAAAGTCGCCCTTCCAGCCGGTGCGCGACAAGTGAGTGCCCTTTACTTTTACCACTGGTTAGGGGAGGGAGCCGGGCCGGCTGCCGGTGGGCGCGAGCAGCTGGCGTGGAAGGGACGGTGCCCACCCAGGGGGGCCCAGGGGGCCGGGCCAGCTGGGTCCACCCAGGCTTCTCCGGAGCCGGGAGCAGCTCCGGGCAGGCGACTCCCTCCACCGGGCGCTGGGCCAGCTGACCGCGACGCCGGTCCCCGCGTCCATCCTGACAGTGCCTTTGCCTTTTTGTCTCGCTGTGTTTTCCCCGCAGCTCGCTGGCCCCGCAGGAGGGAACGCCGCGGATCCTAGCAGCCCTCCCGTCCGCCTGATTCAGGGTCTTTTAGTTTTGCGGGGGGAGGGGGGAGGAGTTCGGGAGGGAGGGGATGAGGGAGGAATTAAGACAAATATTTCAGACTGGTGTAAAGAACAAACATGGCAACGACGTCAACGACTCCCATCCATCGCTTTCTGCAGAAAGGGGCTCGTCGGGCCGGGCTCGCGCCCGGGCAGCTGGCCGGCCCCGCGGCCGCTGGTCTCTGGTGGCTGTCGCCGCGCTCTGGTTGATTATCAGTTCGGTAAATGCCCCCACGTGCTTGTGTCTTTTTTTTTTTTCCTTTCTGTATATAGAGTGATTTCAGATTGTAAATAGCGCGTCAGCGAACTTGTCTAAATCATATATTTTTGTCTAATAAACTAAATGAAACGATGCCGCTGCTTCTGCTGCTGTGTGTGGCTGGGAGTGTCCCGGGTCCTGGAAGCCTGGCGGGGCCCAGGTGCCGGCGGCCTCGGGAGGAGAGGCCCTTCCCAGAGTTTCCACCCGGAAGGTGGGTGCTTCTCAGTCTTCTGGCGGTTGAATGTGTGATGTTGTTACCAGGGCAGTTTCTTGTTGGCAGTTTGGTTCTTAACAACTCTTACGCATGTATTTGGGACAAGCCTTTCTCGGGACCGAAATGAGTTCGATTTTAGGCAGTTTATAAAACGATTTCTTAAAGTGGGCAACAATGGGAAAAAGAATTTCCAATCTTGTCCCCAGAGGAGAAGTTCAAATTTGAAATCAATTTATACCTCGTTGTCTCCACAGCGTCGTGGCGGCAGGTCTTTCATGGGTAGAACCAGGACATTAATGGAGTATGAAATTTTGCTTTGAATGTATTTTTAGTTATTTGGTTAAATCAAACGTGGAGAAATTGGAAGACTTTTTAAAACTCCCCCGATGGAGGGCAGGGAATGCAGTGCAGGGGTGTCCTCTGGGCATGTGAGCTCTAGGGGGCTGGGGCGTGGTGGTGGGGACCAAAAAGGAGGCGGCTTTGGTCTCCCAGGGACGCCCCCTCTCTGCCGCTGCGTCCTGGCCGGGTGCACCGAGGAGCTAGCCGAGGAGGAATAACCCCCAGAGGCCCTGGACCCGCCTGCGGGCGGCCAGGAGCGAGGCTGCGGAACAATGCCGGCGGCTCCGGCCTCAGCCGCGCGCGGGGCAGGCGATGGCCCCGCAGTCCCTGGGACCGCGTTGCGTTTGGAGCAAGACACGCTGCAGCAGCCTGCATTTTGCACCGGGAAAAGCCTTTATGTTGAATTTGTGAAAGCCGAGAAAGCACACATCGCCGAAAGCTAGCTAAAGAGGTGGCCTGGGGGGAACTTGCGCAGCTGCGGAACAAGCCAAGCCCCGGCGTCCTAGAGAACCCGCCCCTGCACCCTCTCCCTGGGCTTGAGACGCGCCCTCAAGACCCTTCAGGACCCACTGCCCGAGGCTGCTAGTGGCGGCGAGGGGCTAGGCTGTCTGCCCCGGGCCCGTCTGCGGCTGGGGAACGGGGGCGACTCGCTCTGAAGAAGTTGGGTCGCCACCCCCTGTGGCGCTCGCTTCCTTCCCCGGCGGCCCCTGCCCCGCCCCGGGGAAGGAGGCGCGCGGGGGAGGCGAGGGCCAGCTTGGACAGGTGGAGGGTGGGGGTGCACCGCGGGAGGGGCTGCGGGAGGAGCCCCGCCTGGAGCGAGCCGAGGGCCGGCTGCGGCCCCGGTGGAGCCGCTTCCCGTCCGAATGGACGTGTTCGAGGCGCCCTCTATGGGCAGAAAGTGGAATGGGGCCCTGATAAGGCGCAGAGCTCACTCTTGGGGCGTGGCACATAGTCTGGGGGTGCTGGCCCTTGGGGAGGCCGTTGACACAAACTTCGATTTGCGGTGTTGTTTTTGTTTCTTGTTTTTTGTTCTTGGGCGACACCCGCTTGTTTGAATGTTGGGGGTGCGGTGCCTGGCCTGCTGGGTAGGCTGCTGGCCTTTGGGGAGGTGGGTATGGGTGCCAGGCTCCAAGCAGGGCGTTATCATTGTTTCAGGTGGGGCATGGAGGTTCAGAGCGGAGTTCCTCCTCTGTCCTCCACGCTAGGGCTTTGAGGGTCACAGCCCTGAGCTCTCCCCATTCCGGAGTTCTTGGTGGCAGTGCATATCTTGAGAGCTCCGACCAGCGGTGTCCTGAGCCTCTAAGGAGGAATCCTGTCCTCTACCCAAGGATGTGCTTCTCTGGCATCCAGTGTGCTGGGGGGAGACCTCTTCTGGGTGACTGCTGGAAGCAGCAGGCTGAATTTGGATGAGCCGTAGAATCCTCTGCTGTGGCTGGCCTTCACTCTCTTAAATCTAACAGGGTGATTCATACAGGCATCTGCTGCCTACCCAACCCGTAAGTCCATTCATTTGTTTTTTAATCCGATACATTTGGAACCCCCAGCACTGTCCTTTAGGTGGCTGGGCCAGCAGGTGCTCACCAGCGGGGCTCCAGACCTGAGAACCCATGGCCTATAAGTATGAAGGGTCTGTTCCCACTCCTGGGGACTGGAGAAGCTTCCTGTACAAAGAAGTCAGATGGCCAGCCTCAGAATTATTTTTCTCGAAGGAAAAGCTAGAGATGAATTTTTAATTGAGCATTGAAGAGCATTTTTGTTCTTCCTGTGCTATTTGTTTACGTCTTTGCCAATGACACAGCTACCTCGGTGTGCTGCCTGGGGGCTGCAGGCCCCACTGGAGTGCCTGTGCAAACAGCATTTCAGCTCCTAAAATATCTGGGAATAGACATAGACACCCACTTTTTTTCTAAAGCCAAATGGAAGTTCCTCTGCAGCTTTCTGCACAGGAAAACGTGCTGTCCCATTTCATCCCTGTCCCAGTTTCAGGGGGTGGAAGTAGTACTGTGAGCTTGAGCCCAAAAAGGAGTAAATTTGAGAGATGTCCACAGGATTAATGTTTGCACCTTGGCATCCCCTTCTCCACAGGGGACAGACTTCCTATAGAAAAGACACCCTGTTTCCAGGACAGAAGATTTCTGTCTCCATTTAATCTTCTGGTGGGGGAAGGATAAGAAATCCTGTCTGGAGACCTTCCTCTTTCTGCTTCGACCCAGCCCGGTGCCCAGGTGACAGGATCATTGGAGGCACAGTCCTAGATCAGCTTCCCCTAATTCCTGGCCTAAAGACTTGGAGAGTGGGCCCAGGCCCCACCCCAATTGTGACCCACAGGAGTCTCTGAAATCTCTCTGCTCCCACCATCCTTCCCTCCCCCCTCCAATCAATTATATTCCCCAGCACATTTATCTCGCCTGCAATATGGAGAATTCATATTCATATCTTGGTTTTAGTGGTCTGACACTGATTAATGTCATACGCGCCATGGCTCCGAGGGGCGCGCCACCAGATGAATCATGCCCTATAAAGTTTCAGTCGTCCTTGTAGATGTGACTCTATCAGAGAGCTAGGAAGCCAAGGAGGGAGGGAGGGAGAGAGAGAGGGGGGAGGAAGGGAAGGAGGGAAGGGGAAGGGAAAGAAGAGAGGGGAGGGTGGGCTGAGGTTCCCAGGTGCCCTTGGCCCGATGTGGGGGGCTAGGGGACCCTGGGCCCTTTGCCAAAACCCTTCTCCCCAGCTGGGAACTTTCATTCCAGCCCTACTCATCCTCCCTCTTTCCTTCCCTTCCCTTCCAGATGGTTCTAGGAGGCCAAGGGCTGCCTGGCCTCCCAAGGCAAGGTCTGGGTGGGGCTGGGCCTTCCAGGTGGAGATCCTGGATTTATGGACACTGATTTGGGGAGATTGGAGTCCTCAGTGCTCTCCAGAATGTGACAGGGCTCAGTTTGCCAACAAGAATATGGTTTTGACCCTGGGGTCAAAAAGTTAGGGTCTCTAAAAGGAGGGAAGGAAGCCCAGCCCAAGGTGGGTTGCTGGGTGTGGGGGGGCGCTCCTTGAAGGTTTGGTGTACTCAGGCCTTGGGAATTTGGAAAGCCCTAAGGGCCTCCATAGGTCTATGCCCACTGCCTGTGCTGCGTGCGTGGGCCACATTGCAGGACACAGTGTTGATAAGAGTCATCTGGGCTCTCAGGCTTCCAGGACCCCAAAGGAGAAGCTTTGGGATACTGGACACTGAGCTCAGGCCTTGTCGCCCTGCAACTTGCCAGGCCCCAGGAGTGTCCTGGTGGACACTCTTGCCATATGTAGCTGGCCTGGACCTGGCTCCAGATATAGAGGGCAAGAGGGGGGTGGGGGTGGGGGTGTGACTTGGGTCTTCAATCCACGGTGCATGTCCAGGAGACAGAGGTAGGAATTGGGGCCCGTGTGCTTTGGGAGTGACAGCAGCTCCCAGCTGGCTGGAGATGTCCCTGAGCCTATGTGGAGGGAGCACCCTCCCACCCCCAGACATTTCCTTGGCTATGGCTGCCCACCCCAGGGCATTGGATGAATGGTCTCCAAGTAAAAAGTCCCCAGGGATCTGGTGCCTGCTCAGCTAGGGAGGGAGAGTTTCTCAAGTCTCTGCGTCCTATGGAGCCAAGGGCTCTAATTATATCTCCAGAGCTGAAAGGCCACGGAAGGCCATTCCTTGGGGACTGCTGGGGGCCTTTTGTGCCCCTGCTTCTGAAGCTGGATACAGATTCCCGTCCCTTCCACTAAGGACCTCTGAGAATGGGCCCTCTGAGGGCAGCTGACTTCTCAGCACAGGGAGCACTGGGTCTGGGGCCCAGAGTACAGTTAGAGGCCCACGAAAATGTTTTGATTTCTTTTGAAATGGAAAGTAAAAAGGGACTTTTGGGTGGAAGGCAGTGTGTTAATATGTAATATCAATATATTTATCTTTATACCAACACAGTGTAACATTTATTTTTTAACATTTGTTTTCAATGGAAGCCGAGGCCCACTACCCAGAAAAGTCACCTTATGCCCCAGGCCAAGGAGACTCTGGAGGGGCCTAAAATTATGGAATTACTTTAAATGGGAAATCAGAGAATTGAGGTGGCCCTGAACCTGGGAGGGACCCTGCGCCTGGTTGACCTGGCCATCTCACATTCAGGTATAGGGGACCCATGACGCGCAGGCCAAGTCTCAGGAAGCCCCGAAGCTGCTGACCTGAACCTAGCGCCCTGGGGAAGCACTCGGCCAGAGTGAGCCTGGATCCCTCCTCCCCAGCCCTCTGCCCCACCCAGCGTCCTGGAAAGGAAAGACCGGTACTGGGTACTGGGGAGGGGGGTCCTGACGAGCAAAGGGCAGTAGCCAGGGCAGCAGTAGTGGCCAAGCAGCCCCCTACCTACCTCGGGCGAGGCACAAGGGGCAGCCTTTTCTGCGAGCTGCTGTTTGGCTTCTGAGGACACCACGGGTGTCTCTGATGCCCTAATCCATTTATCCAGTTTCTCCAGCGCTCTGGCTGAATGCGGGGGCACAATGACCTGGGCTGCAACAGGGGGGCAGGGTGAG